GGGTAAGAAGCAGGTTCCCTGCTGAGTAAGGAGCCTGGTGAGGGGTTCGTTCCCAGGACACTGGGATCATGACCTGAGCTGAAGGCAGACGCTTAACCGAATGAGCCACCCAGGCACCCCTGGATCCACCTACTTTTATCTATCTGTGCTGTCACTTCTCTAGTCCAAGTTATCATATCTTGTCTTGATTACTTCAATAGCCCCTAATTTACCTCCCTTTTTCCAATTTTGCCATGTTTCAATCTACTGTGTACACTCTATTCAACGTGATATTTTTAAAAGATAAATTTTTTTTGTGTTATCCATCTCTTAACTCTCTTGACGGATTTGTGTTGATCCTACAAACCCAGCTTCTATTAGCTTCACCAGGCTCATTTCCTATCCTGAACCTGCCCATTCTGTATTTTCCAGTCATACTGGATCTCCTTTCAGCTTTTCCAATTAACTAAACCAAACCTCAATGTACCTCAGGGCCCTTGCACATGCTGCTCCCCTGCCTGGGATGCTGGTCTCCTCTTCCTGACTTGGGCAACTCCTTTACCCTTCCAGTTTCATTTTAGATATCACTTCCTTTGGGAAGAATTTTCTACTCCCCACAACAGGTTGAGTTGCCTTTATTTAATTTCATGGCACATTGTGAGCCACCTTTTTAGTACTTGCCCAAAATTTTCAATTGATTTCCCAGTATTTGTTTAGTTAATCTCTTGCCATAGGTTAAATGTTTCTGTACCTCCAAATTCATATGTTGAAACCTAACCCTTGACACGATGGTTTTTGGAGGTGGGGCCTTTGGGGTGATTAGGTCATGAGGGTAGAGCCCTCATGAATGAGATTAGTGCCCTCATAAAAGAGGTCCCCAAAAGGCTCCTTGCCCTGTCCATATGAGGACATAGCGAAATGACCATCTATGAACCAGGAATCAAGCTCTCCCCAGACACTAAACCTGCTAGCACCTTGATCTTGGACTTCCCAGCCTCCAGAACTGTGAGACATAAATTTCTGTTGTTTATAAGCTACCTGGTCTATGGTAGTTTTGTTAGAGGGGTCCCAGTGGACTAAGACACTCTCCCATTAGACTCTAAGCTCCTTGAGGGCAAGTACTGAGTCTGCTGTTTTTCACCACTGCACTCTCAAGGCTTACCGCTCAGCTTGGTATGGAGAAGGAACCAACAAATAGTTGTTGACTTAGTGGATAAATGAATAGATGAATGAAGGCATTTTCCTTCCCCTTATGTATTTTAAATGGCCTACTACTGCTCTACCTTTCACCTCAACAAACTACTAGTTTTACATTAAATACCTAGTATATTTCCTTTCAGCCACAAAATGGGTCATCACTGAATTGTCTTGTTAGTTAAGAAGTAAAGTGAAATCAGCATCAAGATTAGCACAGCATATACACTGATTGAATGGTTCTGTAACTGATTGCATATATGAATCCAAACCTCTCAACAGAGTGAATTCTTTAATATAGGCTGAGAGCATTACTGAATTAATTAATTAGTTAATTTAGTCATTCATCATGAGCACTGTCCTAGGCATTAAAAACAGAACTGTGATCAAGAAGGACTGACCCCAGCCCTCATGGAGCTTACATTCTACTGAGTATGACAAACAACAAATGGGAATAGAATAGAATGTCAGGTAGTGATAAGTACTATAAAATATATAATGAAGCAGGGGAAGAGGCTAACTAAAGAGACACAGTGGGTGTTATTTTAGATAGCAGCCATCAGAGAGTACCTCTCTGAGGAAGTGAGATCTTAATAGAATCCTAAATCTCAGCAAGGAACATTTAATGGGGAGAAGAAGTAGACAAAGAGAATGTGTGAGGCAGGAATGCTCGAAGCAGCAAGGATCCCATGTGGCTGGGCAGAAGAAAGGGAAGTGGTAGAAGATGAGACGCAAGCGGAGGGCCAACTAACAGACCTTGTAGTCCAGCTTAATGCCCAAGTTTTATTCTAAATGTGACAAGAAGCCAGTGGAATTATGAAGAAGGTACCAGTCTGTTTTTAGGTTATTTTGACTGCCATGTGGCAGAGACTGGCAGGGAGCAAGAGTGCGAGCAAGCCCCAGCTGGTTGGAGGTCTCTTGCAGGTAAATATGTGAGAGGTGATCGTGGCTGTCAATCTTGTTGTGGGCTGCCAGTCAGGAACCCCAGGGCTAATTCTTCTCAACAAGCTCTGCTCTCCCGCCTCATCTAAGTTTCACCCCACAAATGCTACAGGTACTGCTGTGTGAATCCGGACCCAGGCTGCTGCAAGTTATCCCCTCCACAGCCTCCGGCCTTTTCAAATGATTCGGCTCAGTAACTCACTCATCACATCCCTGTTCCTTCTCCCCTACATGTCCCACAGCCCAATAGAGCAGTACCCACACCCACACCCACAGTAAACTAGGTCTGCACTATCTCATCAGTCTGTGTGTAGGACCACACGTTCCCAGGTAAGGCCCCTGGGATGCTTGGGACTTGTACTGGGTATTGGCAATATGGACACCACTAGACCAGGAAGAAGAAGGCTCGACAATCTGTTTTGTTGTGAGCTCCCATGGGGTGAGAGGGGGAGGGGAAAGGCATTGATAGGGAATTGTAAACTCATTGTAAACTCAGTCTAAGAAAGTGGCAGCTCCCTAAATGTTTGTTTAATGGGTAAATTAACACATGACAGAATGTGTTTAGGGTTAAAATTCAGGAGTTCATTGTGAAATAGGACAGAGTCTGAGAGAGGAGAGACATGTGTGGATTGCTCCCCACACATATACTAGTACATGTGTGTTTCAAATGACAATGAATTTGATCATTCATCATCAACATACTTCCCTTCATACCTTAAAATTTATAAACAATGGAAAGAAACATCTGTAACTGGAAGATCTTTGAAAGAACAGAGAAAGAAAATTAGAGGACGCCTGGGTGGCTCAGTTGGTTAAGCGACTGCCTTCGGCTCAGGTCATGATCCTGGAGTCCCGGGATCGAGTCCCGCATCGGACTCCCTGCTCGGCAGGGAGTCTGCTTCTCCCTCTCCCACTCCCCGTTTGTGTTCCCTCTCTCGCTATGTCTTTCTCTGTCAAATAAATAAATGAAATCTTAAAAAAAAGAAAATTAGAGCTGTGGTGACAGACAGGGATAGCTCAGTGGAGGGCACTAACCCAGCCTCACTCCCACCCAACCACCAAGGCAGAAGAGTTTATTGCTGAGAGTCATCATACAACCTGTTTTTGACTGATCCCTAGAGAAAGGTGCAGAATGACCTGTGGCCCCTCAGAAAAGATGGGGACCTCCAACAATTCTCTGATTCTCGCTGATACAGCTTCCTCACCTGTATCTACCTCAAAGGATTATTGGGCCAGTCAATGGACACAGTGTAAACTGAGGTAACTGAGTTGTTTAACAAGAGGCAGAGGAAGTGGGGTGAAAGCCTAAAGTACCTCCAGGAGGACCCGAGGCAGGAACTGGGTGGGGATCGGCACAGCTGCATAGAACAGGGAAGTCCCCCAGGGCAGGGGAGATGCTACAACTTCCAGTTGGAAAGACCCACAAAAAAATGGATTATTTCCAGATTTTGCTACTCATAAATTAAAAGAAACAAATAAATAATTAGTGCAAAGTATTGCAATCCTGCAAAACTCTAGTTTTCTTTAAAGAACAAATAAATACCTCCTATGTTCCAAATATTGGCTATCACTTCCCAATAACATGCCTGAGACACAGATCTTTTATGGGCATAGCCATTGTCCCTGTTGGCAAGGCTGTTGAGTTTAAAAACTTTAATTTTTTTTCTTTAAATTCAGGCTGTACTATTTTCTGATTTACCAAAAGTTACATTCAGAACTTTTGTCTACTTCCCAAGAGGGTATCTCAGGAGTCAGCAGCTGTATAAACACACAGAGTTCACTTAAGTGACATTGGGGATTGATAATATGTGCTACACATGCATTTTAATCTTGTTTTAAAAAAAGCATAAGCAGAAGTATAAAGAATTATGATGAGCCGCACACTGCAGGGAACACAGTGACCCAACATGTCAAAAATGAGGTCCTCTTGCATAACCACGCATCAGCGGCCCCAATGGGAGGAAAGCATTTCAAGGATAGGGATGGGAGAGAGCCCACTGTTATCATTTCACATAAAGGACAGTGGTAATGGACCATCAGAAAAGAAAAATTACTGCTCCATTGTTCCTTTATGCAGACACGAACCATTTATTACAAATGTAACCAGCCCACTGCCAGCCTGCTCAGCAGAGCCAAGGGAGAATGAGCCTTAGATCCCCAGGCATTCATTTGAATAAACTCCATCCTGTGGCTGATCTAGGCAAACTTGCTCACCACACATTTTGCACTAACCCTACTCTCTTGAAAGCAGCTTCTCCTTAAACCCCCACTTCTTCATCCTTTGGAGGCTTCACACCTATTAGCCTTCCTCTCTTGATGGAAGGTTCTTAAGGGCAAGGACCACCCCACTACTGCCTTCGTATTCCAACATGTAGCACGGGGTTGTTACACAGTGGATGCTCTTTCCCAGAAATAAGTTCTCCCTAAATGCTTCATTGAATAAGAGGCCCTATAATACAACAATGTCCTGTGCTGAATTCTTGCTGTCAAATTGCCAAAGATAAAACAAAATTAGAACACCCAGCATTGGCAGTATTGGAGGGATTTTACTTTAGTATTGCCTGTCCACAAAGCAGTTTAGAAATAATATCAAAAGCTTTAAAATTAGCATTCTTTTTTTTTTTTCAAGCAAGAGAATTAAAAAAAGGGGGGTGGGGGGCAAGAGAACCAAAGCATACACGTGGGGCGAAACGACAGTCCCAGATGGCTAGGCGCCCATAGCTGGCTCGGGGTGGTGGCGGCTCACACGCCCACGTGCACGGAGGCCCGCGCTGCCAAGCCAGTCCCACCCCCCAGCCCCCCGCGCCAGTGGGACGACGAGGCACCTGCCCCAGAGGGACCGCTAGGCCTCTCTTACCGTCTGGACTCGGCTTCTCAGGCACTCCTCCCGCAGCGCTGACCGGAAGAGCTTGCTGGGACCAGGAAACGCCGCCACCGCTTGATCTCCCCCACCTGCCCGAAGACCTGGAGGCCTTCAGAGGGCCAGGAGTCAGCAGCCCGGGGCGCTGCGGCCCTCTCCGCCTGAGGGAGCGCCCTTGGCAACAAGGCAAAGAGGTAGGTGAGAGCCAGCTGCAGTCACAGGACCCCGCCCATGCAGGGAGGCGGAGGGCAGGAGGGTGGGGTCAGGTCAGGTCTGCGCTGCGCAGCTCCCCCATCCCCCGCTCTCCACACACCCGTCCAGGGGTAGAGTGACCGAGAGGGGTCTCATTCCCATGAAGGGGCATCCCTCCTCTGGCTTGGCTTAGGCCCACCCAGGGAGAGTAGATCACCATTAAAAATGAGCATATTCTTAAAATAGGAATTCTAATTAAAACTTATCCTCAGGAATAGGATGTCATCGATTTGTTCTAATACTTACCTGCAAAGAAATTCAATGCAGCATTGCTCATCTTATTAGAAAATTGAAAACTAAACAAAATGTCCAATGTTAGGGGATTTGTAAAAAACTTAGGTCTTTGCAAAGGAATACTATACAGATATTTAAAATGATGTAAAGGGAGAAGATTTCTGTATGTGGAGAGAAATTAAAAAAGCAAATGATAAAACATAAAATGTCCCAAGTTTCCTTTTTAGAAAAAAATTTATACATACATATATATATATATATATATATATATATATGGGATGTGGGGACTATGCTCATGCATAATGGTACTTATTTGTGAGTAATAAGAATATGAGTTTTTTTCGCTTTTTGTTCATCACTATCTTACATTACCTTATGATTACTCTAAAATGAATGCATATTACTTATGCAATAAGGAAACACACGTTTTTATTTATTTGTTTAGTTTGTTATAAGAGGACCTGCATGAATACTTCCCAACTGGTAGACTTTCAGACACTAACATCGGTCCAGACAAACATTTAGGTCTCTAAAGTCTGTCCAGATAGGCACTGCCTTCTCTAATTGCTCAAAGGGCACTGTTTTGATTCTGGGATACCACATCCTGCAGAATAACCTGGTTTCCTAGCTTCTTATAACTATAAGCATCAGAACGCAAATGATTTGGAAAAATTGGACCTTGCTGCTGAAAGGTATAAACTTAAATAAAAGTTGCTCTGACTCAAGGTTTAGTTTTGTAGCCTGTTATACAGCAATACCACTAAATTATACTTTTTCATTCACCCTTTGTTGGAAGATTGTCCTATCCAAGAATTTTTCTAAGCTTCTAAATAGCCTTAATGGATTAACATTCCCAAGTCAAAGAAAAGTTTACTCTTTGGTGCATTGGCTACTTTGTGCTCCAGGAACAAAGCCAAGGTCAAGGGAGATGCTACACACACACACACACACACACACACACACACACACAGATGTATATCTATAGCTATATATACTATATATAATACAGATATTGAGAGAACGGAAAGTCAGTGTTCTCTGTTAATAAGCATCATGTATTGGACATATAAATCTACTCTTTGGTGAGTATTATAAAGTATTTCTTTTTTTCTTTAGCTAATTTTGCTTTGCAAATTCAGACATCTTTAGAGTATTCTTCTGCGTATCACTGAGAATAGCATTAAAGGGTATATAGTAGGCATGAAAGAAATACTTGTAGTTGACTGAGCATGTATATCTGATTGAATCATAACGAAGTCAGTGATAAAAAATGAGATTTTGAAATAGGTTGTAAATATTTTAGATGAGGACAAATGACTTTGAAATCTTTGCAAATAGCTTTTTTACTGATCCCCCTACTGACTCTAGAGTGCTCTGTTACCTAGTGGAGAACGAACATTTTTTGTCAAAGCATTTAATCATATTTTTCTCTGCATATCTATGAGCAGTCTGCCCTTTTAGACTTTTGCCTATATATTTTGCCCATGTATTTACTATAAGTAACAATGCTTCACACATCATTGCTTTGTTGAGTTATAGTCTTCCATATTGTCCTGAATTGTTTTCAGGTAATAAATTAGGTTCTCTGGCATGTGCAGTAATATAAAGCATAATCCAACCTACCTGAAGAAGACACTCTGCATCTGAGGCCTTGGAATCTAGTTCTGACTTCAGCAGTGCCTGGCAGTGTGATCCTGACCAAGGCTCATAGATTTTCTGAGTCTCTATTTCCACCCGTGTAAGGCCAGGAAGTTGTTACTAGATGATCTCTAAGGCTCTTTCCAGCTTTAATAGTCTTTGCAGTGAAATTATATGGAAACTGTCATTTGGAATAATTTATCACTGCTTTTCAAAGATTTAGGGTATAGATCAAGGCCTAGAGTGACAGCAATCTTCTGACGCAGGAAAAGTCACTTGGCGTAAAATGGACTTGCCTGTTCTGCCTCCTGGAGGCCAAGACGCAGAATTAATGCAGCTTCAGCAGCAGAACATGTGGCTTAAATGCATAAACTCGTAAAGTAAAACACAGGGGCTTTGAAACTTTCCATAAATCACAATTGATCAAACCACCTAAGTGGAATGGTAGGTTTTCCCCGGGGCAGTTTTTTTTCTCCCTTCTTTCTTTCTGAAAGTTGTAAATTCAAGTTGGCCTGTGCTGTTTGTGTTCAGCCTGGGAAATTCTCCAATGACTCAGCCCCTGGCGATGTATCTCCTACGTGCAACTTTTGCAGAAACTAACAAATCAGTGGTTGACATACACTTTTATTCCTCTGGGTTGTGCACTCAGCATCCTCCACAACCCTTGGGTCTATCTTAAAGACATTGATCTTAGAGAAGGGATCCCTTTTAATTCAAATAGGTATCAATTTGATGCTTTTATGTAGGTGAGGAAAACTATGCTTGTTATATTTGGAGGTTTTCAATATGTGGCAGGGCAATGTACTTTTCTTTAAAAGGCACTGTCATAATTCTGTCTTGTTTATCACAGTCCCTAGAGAGCGGCAGCTGTCTTCACTATGTGTGCTTTAGCAGATGCCAAACTCAAGTAAGAGATCTCTCATTATATTATTAGAGAATTTGCGCATGTAATGCTCCAAATCTGCTAACTTGAACAAAGAATATAATATTAAGTTCTTTGAGGATTCCTTCAAAAGTAGTTCCCCAACTCCTTCTGGAAAGCAGTGGATAAAACTAAGATATTTTAAAATAATATTTTACACTTATAAGACATGATTTTCAAATGTTACAGTGAAAAATATTATAGAATTAATCTCCATGTCAGTTTGAAGAGAGGAAGAATGTATTGACATTCATTATCTTATAAAGGTCAAAGAGAGGTTATAGAACTTGTCTAGCAAGTTACTGCAGGTTTGAAGTAGATCAGGAAAAAGACCAAGTCCTGCTGGTAGTAGTGGATATTATTATTCTCCTATGAGATGTTTTATTTCTATGTCACTTGCCCATTCATCAACCTATCCATCCAGTAACCAACATTTATTGAGTTTGTCCTGTATTCAAGGGACTGTTATAACTACTATAACTGATAGAAATATCTTCACCACAATCTTTTAAGGTAGATACTATCATTATCCTAATTTTAGGGATGAAGAAACTAAAACACAGGTGCTGAGTAACTTACTCATTATTTTATATTTTTACTCATTTATTTTATGATGATTCTGCTGGTAAATGACAGAGCCAGGGTTGAACCCAGGTAGGCTGAGGCCAGAATCCATGCTCTTAGTCGTTCACTATGCCCCTTCCCAACCACAGTGGGTATTTCTGAGCATGTACAGTACAGTAGAATGTGCCTGGATATCCAAAACTCAATCCTAAATGTGGACAATGTCATAGGAGAGATGAAATACCACAGTTATATAGATGTGCAAAGGAAGGAGGGATGAAGGAATGATGGTTATGGGAAGACTAATGATTGTGATATTATGGAAAATTGGTCTTTTGTTATTTTCAAAATAACTTGAGTATTCACTAAATTTGTATTTGATGATATTTACATGTAGACACAGTGAATGTTATTGCCATGCCAGTTAAAAATAGATTATCTACTCTCTGTCTGTGGAAACACTTTGAAAGACTATTCTTCAGAGCCCCATGAGCTTAATTACTCATTTTGCTTCAGTGTTAATTGTATTTTTTCTGCAATTGACCTAATCTTTCCATGAGTAAAATGACTGCATCTCATTTTGATTTATAATTAAAAATTGTGCAAAGGCTGTAAACTGCTCCTGAATCTACTAAATCTTGCCTAGTAAAAGCAAAACTCAATAACTTATGTGCATACCTGTCAGAATTAATTGGATTGTTACCTGAATGTTCACGAAATGCCATTCATTGCCTTTTAAAATACTCATAATTTCAAATTTCTACATTTTGATGAGTCTTGTCTCCTCCTTGAGTGGTCTTTTCCAGAGTCAACTCTCACTTCTCTGAAGTCCTATGACTCTTTCAGTAAGGGCCTCTACCATTAATTATATCTTGTAATATATGCTCTCTGGCTTTACATTTTGAAGTACTAGGTCTTTCTAATTTGTTTGTCATCATCTTAAGTGTCATCATCTCAGGAGAAGTAAAAATGCCTTTATTTCTTACTGTAGTCACCTTCTGCTAGCTTTGAGCATGTAGAGATATAAATGAATGAATGCCATGGAGCTGTGTGAGTGCTGGTCGATGATCTGCTGATGTTTTTAGGTGTAATTCAGTCTAGTGGTCAGGCCCCTGGGCTAGAAATCAGGAGGTTTGGATTCTATTTCCCATTTCCTGTGACTTATGATACTTTACTTAAGCTCTCATTTTCTCCACAAATAACTTGAAGGAAGAGTCTTTGTCTAGACCAGTGGTTCTCAACCTTGACTACGCTTTGGAATCACACTCACATGGGCTTCTACCTCCAGAGATTCTAATTCTATGGGTCTGAGCTTTGGAGTTTCGTGATTCTGTTGAGAAGCTGAAATACATTGTCCAGCACTTTTTTTTCTTTCTTTTTTTTTTAAATTTTTTAATTCTTATGTTAATCCCCATACATTACATCATTAGTTTTAGATGTAGTGTTCCATGATTCATTGTTTGTGCATAACACCCAGTGCTCCATGCAGAATGTGCCCTCCTCAATACCCATCACCAGGCTAACCCATCCTCCCACCCCTGTCCCCTCTAGAACCCTCAGTTTGTTTTTCAGAGTCCATCGTCT